GATGGAGTATTGATTCAGATTGAAATATAACTTTTCTATTTTTACGCCGTACATTAGCGCCAATACTTATATAGCGATTTCAAAACAATGTATGAAAAAACTGGTTTCTTTTTTATCTGTATGTTGAGTAGAATTGATTAAACACAGATTATTCAAATATTTCGTAATTTCATTATAATACCATCCTTATATTTCTATTGGTTATATGGGATGCATGGAGTTCGAGAAACAATTGATTTGTTTGTTTATATCTTAGTTTAATCTTTTTATTCCAAAGTTAATTATTGAAGAGCTCAAAATTGAACATATGCCGCCCAAATCCTCTAATTTGTCAATGAAACCAGTCAAAAAACTAACAGGCCCNTTGGCCACATCGATCACCGATGACGTTGACTCAAGAATTTCAACAATCAAATGATCTATTCGTGATCGCCATCGATCCGAATATTGACTTTTATAGTTCATTATCGAAGCTTCCAAGATTGATTCCAATCATCGCTGCCAAATTTCCAACTGAAGGAACGCATGGCGTTTGGCCTGAATATCTAATTCGTCGAGATGGTCGTTGTGGATTTAAAGCTAAATTTGGAAAGGAATGGTTTGAATGTCGTGTCGAAAACGAGGGTATATTTGTATTATTTTCGGTTATTTTTACGTCTTTTTTAATATTTAACAGGCACGAAAAAAGAATGCGAAACAGCTCAGGAATCACTTGAAATTGAAAAACCAACGTCTGCTGGTAATAAACAATGGTCTTCAGCCGAAACCGAACTATCTGATAATGATGATAGTAGTATCGAAAGTGGCGGTGATGTATGATATTTGACTTGTTTAATCAAAATTGCTTTTATTTTTATAGGAAAAACAAAACTGTGAAATGATTGATACGGCGAGCAAAATGAAACATAACAATAATACTAAAACATCTAGTGGAAAGGCTGTAGATGATTCAAGTGACGACGAAGCTGTATTAATGGAGGAAATCAATAAGTCAATTAGCAAAAGTACGTTACTTTTTTTTCAAAACTTTCTGGTTATTGTTTGATTGAGAAAGAAAGAAATCAAGAGGAAAATACAGAATGTTGTATGGCTCACAGATATATTTGAGAGGTTATTTGTGGATAGTTGAAAAGGAAGATTTTTCTAATTGATGAAATAAACCTTGACTTTGTGATCACCTATTTTCCGAACATCCTTATTTGCTCTGTTAGTTCGATTTAGGTGTTAGAAGCTTGTTTTACTTTCTTCAAGATTCACGTTCATCTTAGTTGTTATTTCTCAAATGTACACAGGAGAGAGCTTTTTTGAATTAAATCTGATTTCTGTTTTTGAATCTTGAGACAGAATCTGTTTTTTTGCATGTATTCGTAGTGAATGCGCCTTCACTAATAATGGTTTACACTAATACGGTAATTTCATTTCAATTTAGAACGCGATCATCATTTTAATGCTGGATCAAAAGCGAAAAAATTGAAAACTGGTGTTATTGTCGAATCTTGTAATGAAGAAGTATCATCATCATCACCATTGACAAATGCATCGGTGTTACTAAATATTCAAAGTGACTTGTCAGAAGTTCGAAATGAAGTGATCGAATTAAAAAAAATGGTTCTCAAGTTATATGCATCTCATAAACGATCATTGAATATAAACAAAGTACGCTGTTCTTGCGGAAACTCATAGAGAGAACACATTTTCTACGAATTGAATACAATTGAATAACGATTTACTTTTGTTCATTTGTTTTGTAGCACAATGATCCAGTTCCATCGACGTCTGAATCTTTGGTAAAAACATGAGAATTTATTTGAAAGAAACTGAATAGTACCATTTTAGATTGTAAATGGTATTAACTTATTGACATTATCTGGAACGACAGCGAGTCGATATATGCTAGCAGCCGCACGTGTTGTTCTAACACAGGAACAGTATGAAAACGGTTACTTGCCGGATTTCCGAGGTGACAAGGAAAATCGTGTCGAAATTGAACAAGACCGAGTTGATAAATTACGAGGTTTTTATAACATTGTTTATTTAGCGTACATACTTTGTTCTCTTTTTGTGTGCAGAAGCTGTACAAAAGAAATTCGGCTATAAAACAGAAGATATGGATAGTATATGGAATAACATTCGAACAAGTCTTGTTCAAAAAGTTAGCGACGTTAGAAAAAGCAAAAAACGCGTGAGTCAAAAACAACAACAACAAGATTACACATCTCCATCAAACAACGATATTAATCCTGGTTCTGTTGTGTCAAATTCACAAATAGAGGTAAATTCCCACAGAAAATTCAAGTAGTTTTTGAGTCTATTCTAATTCTGATCCGTATTTTTCCGACAAAGTAATTGCTTTTATTTTTTTAGGTTCTCAACAGTGTTGTTGACTAACTACATATCCATAGGCGTTGTTATATTTAGCGTTCATACACAGATATTTTTTACTATACGTTTTCATGTTTTTTCGTTGTGGTTTGATCAAAAGGATTTCATGTCAACTTTTGCATTAGGAATTAGATTCTCATTATGTGTATAATACGATTCATTTGTTCACTGTTACATGTATGACTTTGACGGTCATTCATTAGGAATTCTTTCTTTTGAGAATAAAGCATCAGATTGAAAGAAAAAATCAAAGCTTTTTATTTCTTTTTATTTATATATGTTTATCATACATGTATATCAAGTATTTTGACAAAGTTATTTAATATGAAACTGCAATTCGACTTGACAGAAAAAGTTTTGATTTTATTTGATTGAAGATGTCTCATAAATCAGCACAAGATATTTTAAACGAAAACTTACGCCGCCGTCGAAAAAAAACTAATCAACAAGCTGTCAGACGTCTTGCAGTCAAAAGAAAGCGGTCACTTGTCTCTCTTCTTTCGGCATCATCGATTTCATCAAATTGCCTTGATCAAGATACATCAGAACAAACGGCCAATGATGAAAAGCCAAAATCGTATGAAAATGAAAGTTTTACGGCAATGTCATCCTCGTTGTTTTGCAATACGTTTGACGATGAAGGTTTAAATTTGTTAAGCGATAATAAAAATGACTTTGGTGTTGATGGATCTTCTTCTTCATCACCAAATAATTCAAGTGACAGCTCAAGTGATCCTGATGAGTTAGACATGATAAACATAACGAACTCAAACTTCTCTGATCATCGACCCCTTCATTCGTGTGCAACAACGACAGTTTCGGATTTTGCTGTTGATATTCTTCAATTTTGTCGTATCTCACATTTGCCCGATAAACAACGTACTGAACTCCTTAAAATTTTTTACAAATATATTCCGTCACCGAATCTTGTGCCAAAATCAAGCGATGATCTTTTAGGTACGTTTTCATATTCATTCTTATGTTGCAAAGAACAAAAAAGCATGCATTGGTTAAATCGATTTCAGAATTAAAACTGACAAACTTTTTTCCTATTTGAATAGAAGCTGTTGGCATCACAAAATTATATACATTGGAAAAGCTATGTGGTGCATGTTATCAGTTCTCAAAAAATGGAGTTTGCTCAACACGTAACTGCGTTCACGAGTCAATGAGAATTCCATCTGATGATATGGTGGAAATTATTACATTTGATTTAGCTGAACAATTAAAATTCTTGGTCAATAATAATCTTGATATTTTGCAAGAATATCAAAATCAAGCACGATTACGAACAACATTTGATTCCTGTGATATTGTTCGAGGTGAAGTTTATCAATCAATCCTGGGCAATCACGCAGAATTCTTCATATCAGTCATGATTCATAGCGATGGAATTCCACTGTATAAATCTAAAAATTGTAACGCATGGCCCATATTAGGTGCTGTTTTGGAACTTCCTCCGTTTGCTCGATCTCGTGCGGACAATACTCTTCTTCTGGCAATTTGGGTGGGCAAACAAAAGCCAAACTTCAATCTTATATTTGAAAAATTATCTACGCCAATATGTGATCTTAAACATCGAGGTATTCAAACAAATCACAATCGAACAATTAAAGTTCTTTTCCCCATTCTTATGGGTGACATGCCGGCGTTATCTTCTATGGTTAAATTTGTCGAACCTAATGCTTACTACGCATGTATGTTTTGCAATACGAAAGGAATTTATAGCAACGATGGACATTGCGTAACATATCCTTTTGACGACGAAGCTGAACTCAGGACGAACGAGAAATTAGAAGAATGCGCTCACTTAGCTGCTTCTATGTTCACACGATTAGATCGAGAGAGAACGAAGGGTTTCAAAGGAGTAAGTGCTTTTTCTAAAATCCTCGACGTTCCTTTACCATACTCAGTTGTCATTGATCCAATGCACACAGTATTTTTATGCCATTCAAAGAAATTTCTTATTCAATTGCAAAATTTTATAAGCAAAGAAAATATGTTAAAAATTAATGCAAAACTTCGATCAATTAATTATATTCATGACATACTTCGTCGACCGCGTTCATTCTCCAATGTACAAAAATGGAAAGCATCAGAAATAAGATTGTTTATTTTATATATAGGATTACCCGTTCTCGCCGAATTTTTACCTGAAGAAAGGCTAGGTGAATTAGCATTTTATAATGCCATTCTACGTCTTTTGCATGATCATTGGGAAAGTGACAAACAGTTACATCAGTCAACATCATTATTATTAAAGCTTTATGTCAAGCATTTATCGAAACTTGTTAATTCTGGCATATATTCGTCAAGTCTACTTACCATATCGACCCATACTCATCTACATCTTCCATTTCAATGTGTTAAATTTGGCCGACTGAATTGGCTAACGAATTTCGTCTTCGAGAGTTTTCTTGGTTTCTTAAAAGCATTCGTCAAAGGCTCCTCAGGAGCAGGAAATCAAATAGCATTTGCATTCATTTCAAATTATTTCTTAGAAAAAACGAATGGAAACACAAAGTCTCGTTTCGGTCATTTCTCAATCAATGACGAAACGTATAGTAGTAATGTCTTAACAATTGAATTTGGCAAATCAATTACAGAATTCTTAACTGCAAATGGACATGTGTCTGCTACTACAGTTTACTTTTCTCGTGTACATCATCTCAATGTCACTTATCACTCTTTTCTTTATTCTCGAAAAGGCTCAACATGTAGTTATTTGATATCGTACGAGAAAAATAATGCACTCCTGTATGGATATATTCTGTTCTTTTGTTTAACTGATGGACAGTGTTCAGCTGTTATCCAAAAATTAACACAAGTTGATTTTTCATTAACCTCTTGTTTTTCATCATTTAAATACCTCACTGCAATTAAAGGCTTCATAGATAATGTGTATATCTTTGTTAAACGTGTAGAACCTTCTCTTGTACAACCTGATCTTTTTGATTTTTGTTCTGTATCTTCTCTTCGTTGCCGTTGTTTATGTGTTACCTTTCATGATGATCTTATGATTCTCACAAATTACTCCTTTGCATATGAACATAATTAAAAAATCATTCGAAATAAAAAAAGCTTCGAATTAACTGACGAAGAGAAAAGGAGAAAAACGAAAAAAGACACAAAAAAGGAATAAAAATGAAACAGTTTTAGCGAAAGGAATTGATCATTAAATTACAAAAAAGAAAATCGAAAAGACTGTTCACTTCACTGTTAAAACAAGAACACAGTCCAGCTGGGTTAGCTGTTCAGTTCATAAACTGAAGGTCTAGAGTTCAAAACTCTATGTGTTCGCATTTCTTCTGTTCTGTTTAGATTATCCTGCAACGATCTTGGCGATATCCTGTCACAATACTGGTAAGTTCTATACTTGTAAGTACATGCGCTAGCTCAATATGCACGATTGATTTCCAGCTAGATTCCTGACAAGTTCCTTGGCAGGAATATCAGAAAATCTGACAAGCTCCTGGGTAGAAATCCTACAGAATTAGAAATTATCAGGACAGAATCTTACAGATTTTTTTGAGCAATGCATGCACGAATCCTGACCAGATCTTGACAAGATCTTCGTAATAACCATACAGGATCTTTTACAATTCTTCTCGCCGATCCTATTCAGATCCTGCCATTACATGGTTTCAAGTTTGTTTAGAATATTCATATTTCCTGCTTAAATCCTAAATCGAACCAATGATAATCCTATCAAGATCATACAAAACGCTTTCAAAAATCTTGTCAGGATCCTTCGATTTCGTGGCTACACACTTCGTCCAGGATCCAAGGATTTCTTGGCAAGATCCTAATATAAAGCAGTAGCGAACTTATCCAGATCTTGCTAATCCGCCATCAAAATCCTGCTAGGATCCTTCGATTTCGTGGCTACACACTTCTTCCAGGATTTTTGCGTTTCTGACCAATATCCTGATTAATAAACGTGTCGGGATCTTCCAAAATCTTGTTTCAAATCCTGCTAGGATCCTATGATTCCGTGGCTACACACTTCTTTCAGGAATATGTCGTTTCCTTAGGAAAAAGGAGCAAATCCTTGCAGGAACCTGGCTATATCTTCGAATGATCCTACAATGAAAACTCAAAGATTTTCCCTAGGGTAGCTTTAAAATTTAAACGTTTCTTCATTACAATAGTTTTTCTCTTCTAAGGAAAATCTTAAAAAAATTTCAATACGTTTTTTTTCTGTTGACGATAATGTAAAACTGACATCTGTTTCTCATTTTATTTTTTTTACCAATCTTTCAAAGCAAATACAACACATTTAGAATTACATATGTAGAAAAACAAATGTCATTGTTTTTCTTTAGTGATTATGATTTGCGCACATTAATTATTTTTATTAAATGAACATTTAGATGTTCATAACATTCAAAGCATTCATTTTATTTAATTACATTTACAAGTCTTTTTATAGGATAAGATTATTTATGATGGTACAAAATAGAATCAGAGTTATTGGAGTAATTTATTAACCAAGAAATAAACAGATTTTCATTTTCTCATTTTTAGTCTCAATCAAATAAGATCAATTCATTAGAAACACCATCAATTTCTCCATCAAAATTATGGTAAGAATATCATCAAAATCATAACGAATATTATCCCGTTCTTTTCTGTGTTAAGTTTTGAATATTGTCGAAAGAAATGGAAAAAGATTCTATTGATTATTAGTATATCAATATTACTAGTCATTGGAATTTATTTTATCACGAAAATTGTGGCAAAGAAAAAATCAGAAATATTGATAACTATAATAAGAAAAACGATGCTCACAACAACTTCAATAATTACTTCAACAACTACTGCAACAACTATTACAACAACACCAATCATAATATCAGCATTTGGAAGTAATATTTCATGAACAACTAAGAAAATATCTTTCATTGTTTATGTTTATGGCGTATGTAGGCTCAAATTTATAGGAGAAATAATTAATTCTATTAGACCAACAGTAACCAGACGTGTTCCGCAAGTCGAAAGATTGCGAGAACGTCAATACTTTTTGCAAAATGTTCTGGAAACCTTTTAAAATATTTAATCAGTTAAACAACTATCAGAATATGAAAAACTCAGCAAAGCAATAACTTTGTATTCCTTTCTCAAATTTTTTTCAGGGAAAGCAATTGCTTCGTCTCGCTTCTACGGCACACCATCTCTGATTGTGTCAACTTTCTGATATTCATATTGTCAGTATATAGATAATGATAGACTACGATTTGTATTGCGAACAAAGAACTGTCCTTCTTTCTTCACATTTATACCTATATATGATACCCATTCGATATTAAATAATAATTAATGTTTACTTTTCAAAAACGAATGTTTTAACATCTTTATATTTCTTATCTAGAATGGACTGATGAAGGGCGATTGAATATACCTCGACGTGATCACACATCAACTGTATTATCTGATGGAAAAGTATTAGTTACTGGTGGAAGAAGTTTTCATACCATTCTGTCTGACTGTGAGTTATATGATCCATTAAAAAAGCAATGGACACTCGTCGCAAAAATGTCTGTTCGAAGAAAAGACCATACTGCATCTTTATTGCCAAATGGATTAGTATTAGTTACTGGAGGAGCAAATGGTCTCGTATCTTATATAAATAGTGCTGAATTGTATAATGTATCAACTGATGAATGGATATTGACAGGAAATATGAAAGATTCACATGCTCATCACACAGCAACTGTCTTAAAGAATGGAAACGTATTAGTTGCTGGTGGAAATCCCTCTAGTGGAGTTTTCAATACTGCTGCATTGTTTAATATCTGGACAGGTAATTGGAGACCGACAGGAAGAATGATATGTCATCATTCTTCTCATACAGCATCTTTATTAATGGACGGAAATGTGCTGATCACTGGTGGATCATCGAGTTGTTTCTCAAAACGTCAGCCTGGTAGTAGTGAATTATATGATCCAACAACAAATGGATGGTCATTGATAAACCAATCGATTGTTATCCGCAAACATCACACAGCAACTGTATTAACAAATGGAAAAGTTTTAGTTACGGGTGGCTGTGATTATACTTTTAAACAGTTGAACTCTGTTGCATTATATGATCCATCCAAGAAGATGTGGACATTGGCAAATAATATGATATTTCGTCGATCAGCACATACTGCATCTTTATTATCAAATGGAGCAGTCCTAGTCACTGGTGGAATTGATGATGAAAATTCGGTCCAGAACACAGTGGAGTTGTATGATCCATCAACGAATAGTTGGTCTTCAATCCATTCGATGAAGATACAGCGTTCATCTCATACAGCATCCACATTAATGGGCGAGCGAGTGTTAGTTATTGGCGGAAGTGATTGGGAAGATGACAATGCAGATCTTACAGAACTGTATAATTATTCTTAAATGAAAAATCTCTTTTACCTTATATTCTCTTTATTGTGTGAATATAAGCATAAAAACTATTTATTTTCACATTTCTTTATTTCTATAGTTTTAATTTTGTCAAATAAACTATTATCCATATCTTGAGAATTCATCATGTTTTTCTTTATTAACCATAATGATAATATGAATTAAATTATAATCTCTCTCATATTTGTAAAAAAAATTTTTCCATTTCTATTTTCATATAAGAATCGTGGGTGAGATAAGCAGCCATGACCGGTTTCGACCTTGCTCAAGCAGAGGTAGGACGCAAGTACATGTACTTGTACTTTTTGTACTTTTCAAGTACGAGGTAGAAATACTTGTACTTCTAGTAGAGTACTTTATACTAGGGGTGGACCATTTCCGTTAATTTGAAATTAACGTCAACGGCAACCCGTTAACCGTTAATATTAACAATTAACGTGTTACACTTAATCGTTAATTTCCACTCAATTAAGTGATTAACGTATAAGAAACATCTTCTATTACTTCAGACGCAATTGTAGATCCATTCTGACTCCGCATCTATAGATTCATCAACGAAAACTCAAAGGTCCATGGTTAATATCGCACAACCGGAGTAAAACACTGTCTCCTTGAAAGGAAATAAACAACCAATGCAGATCTCTGGAGGTCAAAGAAACATCCTTATATAAGGCCTCCCTAGTCGATTTCCCGCGAAAATAAGCTTTTGAAAAAAATCGCGGTCATCGCTGATTGGCCGAAATCGACCAATCCGAGCACAGACAGTGGTTTCTCGCCTATTTTCAAGGAAAAACCCATGGTTACCTATACTAGAATGATAGACCGTACTCGATTACCCCAACATTGGTACAGGTAACCAAGGGCTTCTCTTTGAGAATAGCGAAGAAAATGGGCAAATGAATCCTGTAATCCCATTGGTCCATTTTTGTATCACTTCGGAGGTTGAAATACAGGTATGAAGTACTCTACTAGAAGTACAAATACAAGTACAAGTACAAGTACAGGTATATCCATGCACGTACCAGTACTTGTACGTGTACTTTGTGTACGTGTACTTGTCCTAACTCTGGTTTCTAAACAAATTTTAAAATCATGATTTACAATAAAATTAGTATAATTTCCTCTTTGTTTTTTTTTCCACGATAGCATCATGCCGCATTCTTGAGCATATAGCATACCACTGAAATAACTAAAAAAAAGACTGGAAATACTAAACGAATTTTTGTTTTTAAAAATTATAGCACGTTGGTCTCTGTGATTATCTATTCGATAGATCAAATAATAACAGCACATGCAATTGTCTATCTCATACTCACCTGCTATATAAAATAATAATAAATGTACTGGTATTCATCTTTTATAGTCAAATATCTTGTTGTTTCATTGTCTGTATCTTAGTAAAATAAAATACTATATGAATCAAATATATATTTCTTTATCTTTCTATTGTGCGAATAAACTCATCAAGTTCCATTATTACTGAAATCCGCTACTCGGTGAGTGATTCTTATTTAATATTGATATCTTGTTTATACCTATTCGACATTTCCAGAAAAAACTCCCAAAATGAATTACTATTTTCTTCTCGTTCTTTCACTCAACTATCAACTTGCCACCAACTTCGGTTATTCTCTACCAACTCCTCCTAAACTAAATGAACATCTTCATAATACAAATCACATCTTTGAAGATAACAAATCATGCACAGAATTTGTCACCTACACTCAAGTATTAAAAATGATAAGAGAAGCTTCATGTAGCCAACGTCACGAGAACGTCAAAATCATTCCCAAAACTAAATATCAAAAGCGAGAACTAACTGCGAACAATGATATCAAAGCTCTTCAAACAACAGTCAACGATCATCGGGTGATGATCGAATACCTGTTCAACAATTCTATAAATGAATCTACACTTACTGAAACCTTTCAGGACCATTCACGACATCCGACAACCTTCTCCAGCTGGCGAGATATAATAGATATCATTTGCATTATCATAATTATTGGCGCATTGATACACTTTCTCATATGCATTCAGGGAAATCCGTTGTGTGACCGAATGATAAGTTGTTCATTCAGACCGATTCTTCGTCGCATACAAACACAAAACAAACCAACACATCAACGAAAATCACCACTCTCGAATCACGCTGCATCTAAAACAGCACCACAGTATCAGAACGCTTACGCAGTCTTTCCAAAATAGCAGATTATCATATTCCATCATCATCAGCCAATTAAACACAATCAAACCAAATCTTCCCTGCAAGTATCTTTCACACAAAACTTCTACATAACTACACAACTTTTCTATATTTCGCATGCAATACATGTATCTAGCATCTAAAACATATGATATTTTCTATTTTGAATAAAATCTTGAATTTCTCGATGGTACAATAGAAAAGGAGCTTGAAACTATCAAAAACATAAAAAACAACAGCGAAGTAAACAACATCTACCTCTTGACAATGGCCACATAGTTGAAAGTCGAAACGTCGAAAAATGAAAAATCAAGAAATCAACAATTTTGTTTTGAAGTCATCAACGAAACAAAAAACAGCTATTTCGTTATCTCAGTCTACCACTTACAATAAACTTTGAATTAATACAAAAAGACCTATTGTTCCATATTTTCCTCCTTGTCACCAGAATCTGTTTCTTCACTGTCAGATTGTAAAGCGGGTTCGACTTTCTCTTCCATTATTTCATCTGCGGTTTTATGCATCTCTTCAACTTTATAAACATGATGAAAATATGAGCTTGCAAGTTTGTCGTCCATTGCTACCATAAACTGCTCAATCAATTGTTTTACATCATCTTGACGACATGTTGCGTTTTGATCATGAACAAACTGTTTAAGATTATTCCATGAGAGTTCGATTGGATTAGGACTACATTGTAGTTTTGGAAGACGAATAATTTCTATATCGCATTCCTTTGCAATACGATCGCTCTATTAAACAAAACAAAGAGGGAAAACAGAGTTTGAAAAAGTGGTTGTGACGATTTCTGATGGAAGAGATGATATGTAGTTGATGTGTCTTTTATTTAATCCAAAGAAATCGCGCCGATACTGTATTTTCCTCATCCTTTTATAGTTCTCGGTAAATACAGTA